CATCATCGATATGAATGGAGACTATTTCAATTTACTAAATGTTTTGTTTTGATATATAAGTTGTTCGGGTTTTTGCATCTAAAAAAAAAGCGACATTAATTTCTTGACGACGTAATGTATATGTATATATACACATGTTCTTAAAATGGGTATCACAGTGTATAACTGAACACTATAGGATGGGCCAGTTGGATGAATGAAAGGAATAGGTTTCCAGAATAAGAGGTAATGGGAGACCGTTAAAAATAATTCTGTGTCGAAGAAATGTTTTAATGTAAGAAATTTTGTTTGGATATACGGCTTGGAGTTCTTTCTGCATACATATAACATTGGAATTGTGTGTGTGTTATACCATTACGATAAAAGCGTGGCAGATATGCATACTTTCTTATTGGCAAAGTTAAGAGTCCATATTACTGCGCCTTATTTCATTACGTTTTTCTCCTTCTGTGTACGGAATTTTGAATTGTTTTTATATCGGCCCTCTTTGGAAATGTTAATATTTACGTAGAAAACTACATAACTTTTCTAATATAATCACAAGCACATAACGATAGCCTCGGCCTTGACATTCCAACATACCTCAGGGTAGAAGATTATCTAACGTGATAATAATGATGATTCTTTCAGCGCGTGCTATAGACCTTTACATCTCTGTCTGCCAACGTTAGTGTAATATGATATTTTCAAATAAGTCATCCCTTGGAGCTAATTTGCATGATGTTAAACGTATTTTGTTGTGTTTTTAGAAGGAAGCAATATTATAATAAAATTTCTCTTCAATATAATTGTTGTTGTTGTACCTGATGATCATGCCCTGCTAACCCAGGGTTAAACGTTGTAACCATAGGTATTATACTCTGTATATGCGACAGTAGAGAAGGTTTAACAAAATTCACTTTGTTTATGCCGTCGTAGCAATATCACCGAGACTATATCGTAGCTACGTCTGTGTGCACAAGTTGTTTATGGGTATTTTGTTTGTTCATGGTTTCCAGCGCTTACGTAGGAGAGGTGATCACGTAATCGATACTATTTGTCAACGTACACGTTAGTTTACATAGTAGTTCGTAATAAACATCACATTTTGATGACATCCAGGTTATCTGTCATGCGATAAAAATAGTTTGTCAGTTAGTGTATTTTGCCCCCCTTGTTTACAGAAACTGTTATGCAATGTACACTGAAACATAGCATTTATTGTCATGCTTGCTTTTACATTAAAAGATAAGATAAAACATATGTAGTTCTTCATGAAGTGGAATGCCAGTTTCCCTGTCTGATAGAATTATACAAAAAAAAAGTCAAAAACAGTAATATAAATGCATTGTAAAAGGGACCATGCGGTACTCGGGGTTAGATGTTTTTGTTTGGAAAGATGTTATTACCAATGTATTGTTGAATATTATAGTTTGTGTTTCAGAATTTGTAGTTTAAACTCAATTTAGAAAACTTTTAGTTTCTGCTATGTATATATTAGATATGTCAACAGAAATGTAAAATCAGTTTTCACTAAAACAGAAAAGTGCTTGTGAACATTTGTGGCAGTTTGAGAAATTGTTGTACTTTATAACCTTTCATAACTTAGATATTTTGCATTTAGTTAGTGCCAATGTGAATAGGACGTGGAATGTCGTAAACTTGCATTATTCCTCGTCTTGAAACAGTTTTATTAATATCTTGTTACAATGAAGTCCTGAAAAGAGAATTTCACAAGTGATAAAATAGTAGGATTTGTAAAAATCTGAGAAACTCGCAGTTGTCTTTTCATGAGTGCATGCAAACATTTTATGGAGTTAAAAAGTTTTTATGATGACATAACACGCGTCAGAAAAAAAAAAGAACGTTAGTAAATCTTTCAGTCAAATACGGCCTAAATCTGTTTCGTATAATCTGGTCTCGTATAATGTAATATTTTGGAATCGAGTGACCATACTGTAAAGGTTTTTAGATGTTTGTTTATATTTATATTTTCACTTAGCATAATTATCGCCAATCACATGCATCTCTATGGGACGGCGGTATGTTTACAACGCTAAAAGCGGGGACTCGATTCCCCGCGATGGACACAACGGATAGCCGATTTAGGCGGTTTTATAAGTACAGTAAGCTTTAGTTTTGCTCAGCCAATACTGTGAAATAGCTCTTGTTAACATTCAGACATTTTAAAGGTGGCTCAAAACGGAAGATTTTCATGGCCGCCATTTTGTTTCATCACGATCCCTGCTATTTTGTACTACCGTACTTAATATGTATATATATTACAATTTACTAAATAATCGGATATTTATTGCACTGCATTTTAAAATCATAGATAAACAAATTTGTTAAAAGCTTATCAAATTAAAAATAAATCAAACAGAAGCATCTAAGATGTCTTGAACCTATTCAAAGGAAAAAATGTTGCTTCTTAGTTTCTTTCTCGCTGTTGGACAGGTCTTCAAATCTCAATTCCCGTGGGTGCCCAGTGTCAGTTTAGGTTAAGAAAACGTGTGCTCTGTCGTTGTCAAGGGATTCTTTAAATAAAATTTAAAGGAGCTGTTTATCATGATAGTGGTTCATAATAGGCTTCGCTCAGGAATTTCATTAGAATTCTAATAGAACTTAGGGCAAAACCATCTTAAAAAGCAGACTTATTCTTGAAATATCACCCAAGACCTTCTATCTCACTGGCTAAGGCTGATATAATATTGATAATAGCAAAATTCAAAATTCATCCATTTGTTCTTCATATTATTATTATTATTGTTTCACAAGCGTACAGAAAAAATAGCTATGCGTATTTTATTCAAACCTGCTGAAAAACAAACCAACAAACAAACAAAAAAAAAAAACTCCTGCGCAGGTTATAGGACTATTTCTATGTTGATTATTGAAAGAGAAGGAGAGAATTTATCAGTTTTTTCATCGCTACTGGCCAAGTTTCTCTTCGAAGCCATTGAAACACCGAAGCCCACAACAAAAACGGCATAGCTACTAAACAAACTCCTACGAAGGTTGTAGGGCTATTTTTAAATTTATTCTTGAAATGTCCAGATTTCCACCCTCTAAGTTCTTCTTCGCTACCAACATAATTTCTTCTCAAAGCCACCCAAGCATCGCAGAAATGAAGTCGTACTTCGCTGAAATTATGTGTGCGTATTTTAGTATTATTTTCTATTATTATTCATATTTTCGTTTCACAAGCCTACAGCAAAATCAGCCGGGTATTTTGCACTAAAACTCAGATAGATATATTATATGAAACGCTGCGAATGGCCATGACGTATTTAAAAAATTGATTTACTTGGCTATAAGTACATAATAAATATATATATATGTGATGTTGTTGTGAGCGACTTTCTTTGTACTCGACGTTTATTAAACGCGTGTTTACACGAAACCTCAGACACAAAATCACCTGGCTCAGTAAATAATTGTTGGGTGGGGAAAAAAACCAATGCATAGTAAACTGTTGAAAAACATGTGACATTCAACCGAATGCATATGTATGTATGTAGCTTAAAATTTATTCTCCATAAATGGACATAAAAAACAACTTAAGAAACAAGATAATTGAAAATTTAAAAAGGGGAATAGGAATCATAAAAAAAGAGTACAGAAACAAGTTTAACCAAAATGCAAAGATTAAGTTTTCAAGCCTACAACTAGGGACTCTTAAAAAAAGTAAACAAACTAGGCTGGAAATAGTGTCTACATTATTTTATAAAGCTACAAATCCCTATTTTGACTCCATGTCTACAGTACTTATCAATTTTAGTGGAGTCAAATTAGGGATTTGTAACTTGAGAAAATAATGTAGACACTATTTCCAGTCTAGTTTGTTTACTTTTTTAAGAGTCCCTAGTTGTAGGCTTGAAAATATGGTCTTTGCATTTTGATTCAACGTGTTTCTGTACTTTTTTATGATCCCTAGTCCTCTTTTTTAAATTAACAACTTTTAATTATCTTTTAATGACAGACGATACTTTTTCAATTCATATTGAGATACAGAGAAACTGGAACAATGCAATACTTTTACCGTTTCTGATCGGGGCAGAAAAAACAAGCCTAAAAAGTGTGACGATCTCAGTTTTGTCTGTGTATGTATATTGCACATACTGATATTTTGAAATCAAGAAAGTGTTTTTATCGTTTTTAAATTCCAATTTCACATTCCATAAAATCTTAGTTTTTCTAAACATGTTTCCGACGCTAAGTCAGACGCACATATCGAATTAAAACATATCTTAATTATTTGAATTAACGTTTTTCTTTCTTCCTATGCACCTGTGTTTAGGTTTCTATTTGAAAATAGTCACATTTTGTTTTTCCTCTTTCATAAAATATTTCCTTTGCATTTTACAAGTCACATGTTAAGAAAAGATCATTGAGGCTTTTACTTCGTAGCAGTTTACAATATCTTGTGGAGAAGACAAACAGAGTGAAGAACAGTACCAGAGCCCAGATTAAAGTAGCAACGTTATTCAGTGTATAAACTCATTTCGATATCTTAATCGTTGTAATTTTTCCTTTGCTCTTTCCCCAGTATGTAATATATATTGTTCATTTGTATAATCATGTAAAACTTGTTTATTTGTATAATCACAGTAATTCACGAACTGGGGAGACCGTTTCCATAAGATGGCTTTTATACATCTGCTCAAGGGTAAAACTCATGTTTTTGGAATATCGCATTCATTCAGTTATGAAGGTAACTATAAAAACGGATAATCTGAAAGATGGAAAGGTTAAGCCTTGTTCTCATTTCATTATTTTTGAAATCCAGTAATTTCAATTGAGATATATTAAAGCAGATATTCACCTTAATATTAACATGATTATGTTAACTAGTTACTCCAAAATGCTTACTAGTTTTTTTGTTTTTTTGTAGTATTAAAACTATAATATGTAAAACATAGTATCTTCCTGTAAAGCTACTCTACTCGTCAAAAACCTGAAATATGAATACATTATTACATCATTTGTAAGATTTGTACTAACACTTAATTTTCCTGTTAAGGCTTTTCCATATGTCATATTATAGCTTTATTACCGAACTACCCCAAATTTGTAAAATGTTGGGGTAGCTGTAAGGTCAATTGAAATTGAAGTTTTACCACACACAATTGAATTTCAAAAATAGTTGGTCCAGAAGAAAAATTACCCATTTTATTTAATTATCTTCACCATGGAACGAAATGTTTTAAAAACATCGCAAGTAACCCCTTGGGAGTGGGGGGGGGGCAGATATGTTTGCCACTGGTAGCATGACTCATATTCCATATCCAAAAAAAAAAAATTACTCGAATTCTAAGGTAAAGAAAAAAATGTCCAAGTACATTAATGATCAGTACATGTTCTTGCTCATCCTTTGACTTTAAACAGTAACTCGAAAATGAAGCCAGAGGCACTTATTTTGGCCAAAAACAAATATTCAGCCTCTATTAAATGCCATATGTTGTTACTAGACAACTGTTGCTAAGCGTTATTATCTAGACAATTGTTGCTGAGGCTTCTTGTATACTAAAAACACTCTTAGCGATATATATATTATATGAATGGGTTAAATTCTAACTTATCCTTCTAATGACAATTGTTAAGATAATGGACACTTGACATAAGTTTAGGCTATAGAACTTGCAACAAACCAGATAGCCTGGTATATTTTGGATCCAAAACCCAAAATCACTGACACATTGTTTGCATATTTGCCTTGAATTTTTTGTATAGATTGCATTTTAGTTCCCGGACCAAGGTTAAAGCCTGCGATATGCTACCAAAATATGCTTTGCACTTTTAGCAGTGGGTACGTTATATAAGTAGCAGTCAATTCCGCTATTGGTTAAGAGTATATATGTAGGCGATGAGTACCACTGACTGGTTTCCCTCCCTCTAGTTAGTATTTTTAAATTAGGGACAGTTATACCTGATCCTTGGGGATCTCTGACCGTGGCGTTTATTTTATGTGTCACATAAGGTACTGTCCAGATTGAAAATACTATGTTCCAGAAATTGGTAACTTTTAGAATCAAAGAGTCGGATCACAAAAATTCTCATTGAATAATATTTGTTTAAATCAGTATTACCTATAAGTTAAAAATATAGACTATAGCCAGTTACTACTTTGTGGGGTGTATTTCAAAATCCCAATTTCTTACCATAATAACAAAAGCAGTTGACCTTCGCAGTTCTGTGTGACCTTGACTCACATTTACCTCCTTTACTATGCGTGGTAGGTGTGGGTTGAGGTGTCTGCCTAAGGTTGGCACTGACTTGAGATCTCGCAGGAGATGTGAGTAGTTCCGACTACACGGGTCTGGTATGGCCAGGTGGTTAGGGCACTTCACTCGCAATCTGAGGGTCATGGGTTCGAATCCCCGTTCCACCAACATGCTCGCCCTTTAAGCCATGGGGGAGTTATAATGTGACATTCAGTCCCACTATTCGTTGGTAAAAAGAGTTGGCGGATGGCGGTGATGACTAGCTGCCTTCCCTCTAGTCTTTCACTGCTAAATTAGGGACGGCTAGCGTAGATAGCCCTCGTGTAGCTTTGCGCTAAGTTCAAAACAGACAAACTCACATTCACCAAAATTAATCAACTGATTCTTGGGGTCACTATTTTGTTATTTTTTTTTACCAAACTTGATTAAAATCAAATTAAAACTTTTTGAATTGTGTGAGATTAACCTTCAATGTGGCCTTGACTTTGACCGACATTCACTAAAAGTTAATAATTTGGTCCTTGGCAGATAGTCAACCTTTATACCAGTTTTTTTTTTTAATCAGTTGAAACTTTTCAAGTTATACTATTCATACACATAGAGGAGTGACACAATACCCTCGCCATCGGGGAGGCGGTGTTATTAAGTTACATTGTTATTTTGTGAGAGTAACAAGAAGGGTTTCGCACGTCAAGTTTATCGCGCATTGTTGAACTCCCCCTTTGTCTACTTGGAGTTCTCGGAAACGATGTTTTCTTTTTAGTATAACAGGCAGCAATAACAAAATTGAAAATTTTCTTATGAAAAAAAAAGGTATTTAAATCATTTATTAAAATACTGGCCAATCAAGCCATAGTGGAATTTCGACTGGAATTCCAAAACCCCTGAATTTCGCACCCTGGCTGATATGATGGTAAAGAATGTGCATTTTTTTCGCGCTAGTTTCTCACTCATGGATAACATGTACTCTAGCGCGGTTAAATACTAAAAGTGATAGAAAAAGTTTAATTTGATTCTACAGTCTACCTCGTGAAAGAACTGCAATATAAAATCCGACACTAGATGACGGTAGTTTATGAAAGGGAAATATTTCTATTACTTCCAGTATTGAACTGCAAGCGTCTTGCAGTGTGTGACTTTAAATTTGACATCAGACTGTTGTATCAGTTCAACTAATTCGTTGCCTGTTTACTGATTTTCATTCTTCGGGAAGTTCATCACGAAAAGAAGTAAGTTTTTTTACCTATTTGTTTAACATCGTATCTTTGAATTGAAACATCATCTGAGGACTGAATAAACTATAGCTGTGCTATTTATGTGAGAAATTATTATAACCAACCAACGCCTTCTAACGTGGCTGAAGCAATAACAGATTGGATCTTTTATGAACAATGAAGGAGATGAAAAACAAAACAAAAAATATTTTTGCACATTTTAAGATAACATTTTTAGTTAAGTAAGTTTAATATTAATAAAACAAAAATGCAGAGAATTACACTGAAGGTGAATTAAAGCAAGACAAATTATCTTAATACAAAGAAAAATAAATTACAGCTTCCCCTCCCTCCCCCATTTATAATGAATACTTTTTAAAGTAAATATATGTTTTAAATGTAATAAGTTTTTAAAATCTAAGAAATATTCTTACAAAATGCAGATTTATGAAAAATGTACTTACACTTTTTATGTCAGTATTAACCCTACCCAACAGTGGAATTCAAGTATTGAAGTACTTGATACTAGAAAATATCTTTTTTAAAATATGGAATTTGTTCAGAAAAGTTAACTAAAACTACTAAGCCTGTTTTCTCACAAGAAAGAACTATTGTTTCAAGGATGACCTGGATTTTGGTATTTGGTGTTCCAGAAATAAAAACAATTAGGTTGAAAGGACAACTTGCTAGGTGATTGTCAATGTTTTGAGGCATTAGGCTGATCTATCTTCCTGTTGAAAGTTCTCGAAATGCATCAAAACTTATTTCCCACCAATTTAGAAAGCAAGTTGTCCATTCAGCCCTTGTTGGGCTCTAATGAGTTTTTATGCCTTGGCATTAAAGTAAGGTTTCTGGCACTCTTGCTTTTGATCAAGGGTTTGAATAGTAAGAAGAAAACTTAAAATTGAAACACTCAATTCTTTCATAAAAGTTATTTATAAATTGCCACAGATGTACATAATGCAGTTAAAACTGGGTTGTTCTGGTGTCTTTGGCTTTCAGGAGCCTGGCAAGCTCCAGATCTAAGAAACACTTTCCCCTCACTTTGCTCTGTACTATACTCCTAACACACAACTGCTGAATTTGTAGACAGAAATCTGTGTTTTTTTATGTTAAAGAACAGATAGAGTTTTGGGAATTTCAATTTATTTTCAGTTGATATTTTAACCAACGTCTGGATGTTTGCAAGCAACCTGTTTGACCAAAGAGATCCAGTGTTAAAAGTCTTTCTTTGTAAAGGAATCCTTTTTAAATGCATGTTTCATGTAAAATTGTTCCTTTGTGGCTAAGTCCTTTTTGAACCATCAACACTTAGCTTTTATTATTAGATGCAGATTTCACCATAAGCTTAAAAATGGTTAATTTTTGTTGAACTGTACTTTATTCTTACAAATTTAGAGGCTAATCTGTGCAAAATGTGTTGGTTTGTTTTTCAGGGATTAAGTGTCCTATGTGTTCCAGGTTTGTCATACCTGAGGATGTGGAATACCACTTGGTCATGTGCCTGACCAAACCAAGGATTAACTACAATGGTAATACATATTTCACTTTCTCCTATCCAGTGAAATGTTGCTTAAGTGCTAAGTAAAAATTTAGCACTGTAAACAAAATGCATAATAATTACATGTGAGTACAGTTAAAGAATTATAGTATTTTCCTATTTGACCAACTTAAAATTGTGACAAACATGTTGTTTGGTCAGTAACACATTGACATCATAAACCAGTAACAATTATCAAAGGTTTGTATTTAGACCACGGTAAGCTGATTTTTGTAGAAAGTTTGGTTAATTGGAGGGGGGGGGGGACTTGCTGAAAAGTGTAAGTGTGGAAATATAAGAATCCTCATTATCTTGTTTGCTTTACTTGAATTTTGTGTTCATACTACTGAACTTAAAGTATTAAAATTATGAAAAAAGTTTTGGACAAGCAAGTTATATAATTTGAAAAACTTTCAGAGTGTGTAATCATATTGTTGTTACTGATTTATAGAATAAAACAATATTGTAGTCATATAAGTATGAATGAGGTGATTTTTTAACTGGAGTATGGAAGAGTTGACTAAACGGCATTCTTACAAATTAAGAAGTTCATATTAGGGAGAAATTTCTGTTTTGTTTTATCCTCAGAGGATGTACTATCTGAAGACAAAGGGGAATGCGTGATATGTTTTGAAGAACTTGAACAAGGAGATACCATTGCCAGACTCCCCTGTCTTTGTATATATCATAAAGTGTAAGTTTAAAATGTTCACTTTTGAACTTCTTTTTCATTATTTTATTTATTAGCTTCATAGAAAATATATGTTAATATTAATTGTATGTGTGGATTTTATGCATTTTAGATTCATTGGTCTGTTTTCGTTTTTAAAACCTAATTAAAATTAATTGTTTCTCAAACTCTTAAAGTAACTTACAGACTTAAGAATAAGTTTATGACATGTATACTTATCTGTCTATGCAGCTATAACTACATTAGCTAAAGTAACTATAATACATACAGCATTGAATGAGTTATTGTTAGAATGGTAATTTTTTTCTATATTTGCTGCAGAACCAGTTTCAGATTGCTGTTTTATGGACTCCTATCCATGGGACAGTTATAATTTTCTAGTTAGTTTAAACCTGGCTCAAAGTTGTTCGTTTTAAAATGAGTCTACATGATACATGACTCGGATAGTTTATAAGTGGGTTGGAAAACATTTTGTTTTTTACCATAGAAGCTTTTAGCCAAATTAACATGAAGTATAAATTTTTGTGTTACAATTAAAATCTCTATCTATTCTATAAAGAATATTTTACTTGCTGTACAGACAAGAGATCTTATTAAACTACAGTTTGAGATTAGCACTGCAGCCAATCCAGACATAAAAATTTTAAATTTTACTTCTAATGACAAATATGGGGTAAATTATAGTTCATACAATATTTCAGTCAATGCTTTAGCTACATTAATCAAATTATATTTGTATATTGGATAAGGGCAGATATACATAAATATGGAAGAGAGATACTGATTTTTGTTAATTAAGAAAACTTAGCATTCCCAGTTTTATTTGTATCATTTACTGTACAACTGGTTATGTTTTACTTCAGATGTTATTTGTATCATTTACTGTACAACTGGTTATGTTTTACTTCAGATGTTATTTGTATCAGTTACTGTACAACTGGCTATGTTTTATTTCAAACGTTATTTGTATCAGTTACTATACAACTGGCTATATTTTATTTCAAATGTTATTTGTATCAGCTACTCTACAACTGGCTATGGTCTTATTAGAAATGTTATTTGTATCTGTTACTGTAAAATTGGCTGTGGTCTTTATCTCAACTTAAAGTTGTCTCATGTTTATAAACAACAATAATTTTAAAGAAATTACTTGTATCTAGTATTTTGTTTTCTAATTTCAGTTTTTTTACAGAGATAAATCTTACCGACTATAAGAATCCAGGCTTTTTCTTACAGTGTACTTAACTAGAGTAGAATTTTTCTTGCTCTTTCTGTTATTCCTCATGGATCAAGAAAACTCTGAAGGTTAATCCTGTATATGTTTGATGCTGATTGATTAGTGTGTGTTGGGTTATTAGTTTAATAATTAATTGGATCTTTCTGTAACTGTATTTATTGGGGTTAAAATATTAATGGTATTCTAGAACTGTGTTGCAGCACTGTTATTATTAGCAAACTCTACAATGGAAATTATATTGGTTATTGCATTCAAATATAATTCTACTCAAAGAAGAAATATTGTTTTACTAGAAGTGATGAAATAAAGAAGTCAGTGTTCCTACTGTCAGCAAAGGTGGTGAGTTTTAGTCACAATGTGTCAGCAAGAGTTTAGTACTTACATTGCATTCCTGATCTCACAAAAACTATGCCTTTAAGTATTTAGGGTGAAGTTGTGGCATACTGATTATGACAATGAAAGCCAGTTCTAGTCATGAGAAACCAAAAGCATTTGTTTTAGCCCTCATTGTTATGGTAAAATAGATAAAGCCAAGTGCAAATGCGATTCAACTGAGTATGTGACACACAAAGATAATTCAAAAGAACCATTTTGTTATATGAATATACTATGTGTTTCTATCTTCTTGTAGTATTATATTTATTCTTCATTCTGAATATTTTCAGGTTTCACGTAACATGGGGGTTGAAAAAACAATTAATTTCATCTTGTTTCAAATTATCTTTGTTCCTTTGTTGTTCTTGAAGTAGTTAATGCCTGTTATCACCTGAGGAAAGCATTGATTAACACATCATTGTGTAAGAATGTCAAAAACAGTGTCTTTCATTGGTTGTTCAGATTATATTGAGAGTTTTTATGGCCCCACCTGTGTTTTAATGAGAATGAACAGTCACATGAGTAACACATGTCACTCTGAGTGAATGCAAAACTTCATGCAAACTAAGAAAAGTTGCATTTAAACCATCTGATAGATGAATTTAGCCTGAAAAATTGAATAGAGTTTCCAGTAAAAATGAATATCTGGCATAAGTAAACTGCAAATACACACACTATGTATATATTTAATGTATTAATAAAGATTATTCATTATATATATAACTTTTTGTCCAGTTTCATTATTGCATTTATCATCGATCCAGTCAGTAAGAGTTTTAGCCTTTTTTCCATAATCAGTATCTTGACCGAATCTCCAGTTAATAAGTGGATGTATTCAGTATAGCTTTAAAGTTAGTTCAGTTTCACCTCTATACAACACAAAGTGGATAGGTGGAGTTAAATTTTGCTGTGACCAAAATGTTGTTGTTGAGGAGTTTGTTGTTAGTTGCTGTAATGCATACTTTCCTCTACTTAAACTTTTATTTTATTAAGTGTAAAATGTTTTCAGTTTGAGAAGTGACATTTTCAACAACTAGAAAGACTTATGACCTGGAAGGAGAGTTCATCACTGAAGGGAGATGGTTTTCTGAGAGAGTTGTCAAGTTTAAGAGAAATCCTCTTTGGACTTTCACCAATGTTGCAAAGGTCCATGACTCTAATCTCATTGCAACAACCTATGACCCAGAAAGGAGAGTTGCCAACATCTGGAGCATCCAGATCTGTTGAGTTCTCATGAGGATTGACTTCAGTACAAAGAAAACACAAACTGAGGGTTTTCATGATAGTGTATCAACTGGTGAGTACAAGATCTGTTTGAGAGGTCTGTACAGTATTCCCAGACTGATGTTGACCAGTTTAGATCAACCCCAGCTATGATTAGAGCCACCCAAAGATGACGGGAGACTGGAAGTGCCTTTGGGGTCGAGCAGTGCCATTAAATATGCTGCTCAGAGCATCAGAGTCTCTGAGAGCTCTTAAAATACTGTGCTGACAATGTCAGGGATACCTTGGTCAAGATGTGATCAAGAAGTTATAAAGGAGAATGTTTGGTTGCATTCATGGTTCCTTGTGGGCAAGAGGAAGCAGATTGCTCTGCTGACATTCAAAGGCACAGAAAAAAAAAAGACTTGACCATTTCCTGAAGCACTTTGGGCAGGTTCAGAGTCTAGAAGGTCCAGCCCTAGACTCCATTGAGCATTTGGATGAGGAAAACTATGACTGTAAGATAGTCATTGTTGAATTGCATCACAACTTTGAGCCACTGGAAAACAGAGCAATCCATCAAGCTGAATTCAAGGCTCAAAAGAGGGGTGCCACTGAAAGCTTGACCACTTATATGAATAACCTGTACTGACTGAATGGTAAGGCTTACCCTGCAATGGCCTAGTTAAGTAGCAGGTGTCCTCATAGAAAAGTTTGTGGAAGGACTATCCACTGAGACAATGCAGTATCACCTGGGTGTGAGAGACCTTCTAACCCTCACTGAGGCAGTTTCTGTTGCAATGTGATATGAAGTAATAACTTTGAGTGGATTGCAGATGATTAAAAAGCATGTAGCAGCATCTGCAGTGACTGTTCTTGGACATATAGGCACCCATGTTGTGTCAGGTTTGAACTCGGCCACCCACACTTTCCAGCATTATGATACAACCACATTAGCATCCAGTATAGGGTATGGCTATACCAATCCTTTCATGTCTTATATGGCACAACATAAGTTGCCAATGCTTCCACCTGAATGTCATTCTGGAAAGGAGGAATGAAACACATGCTTTGCTTTTGGAGAGTTACATCACTTTTGGATGAACTACCCCTGTCTTACTGAGACAAGAAAAATGAAGCTTTGGTTCTGACTGATGGTACAGAAGGTTCAGGAGAGCAAGCATCAAGCAGTTAGTACTGCTGTTGTAGTTCCGGGAATCCAAGTTGGAGTTGACCACTGACTTGGGAGAGTGCAACAAACAACTTACAACAAAAAGTGTAGTGGTCAGGTTAGCTGTGTCAGGGCTGGGTAGGTCTTGGTATGTGTCTGTTGGAGTACAAGAGCAGTAGTTCCTGATTGACATATAAGCAGCCAGAATACTTGTATATATGGTTCTCCAAGCAAAACCACCACTTGGTACTTTATTCTGATGAATAGAAATAAACTAAACATGAATACAGAGGTCATGCTCTGACTTCACCTAGGAGGTTGTGTTTACAGACTGAAAGTTTGCCACTGGCCCTGGTTCTGGTATTGGCACTTTTGAAGTGGATATACTAAAGAACTTATCAGTTTTGCATGTGCAACAGGTGAACTGATATTCCTTAGTAGAGTTATCTGGTACCAGCTACATTAACCCACAAGAATAGTGGGCCACATGTGTGTATGTGAGAGATGTCACAGTACCCTCATGTACACAAGTGGTGTCCTGTGACTTAGTGCGGACAATGTCTAGTGTGTCAGTGCTGTGCAGTGTGGCTATAGAGCAGCAACTGAATGACTTGTTGCCAGAATATGCTGATGATGAAATATACATACAGGTGATATACACCTAATTAGCCACTGCACAGGATTCCCTGGAGCACTAGAGATGTAGCCAACAATGAAGCACAGTGAATGTTAAAGGATAGAATCTTACAGCTTTCAAAGAATGCTTGGTTATCTTTTCAGTAGTGATTGTAAAAAAAATGAAGATTTTGTTAGCATTGAGTTGAGAAGGATGAATGTGGTAATTTACATTGACACCATTCCTTTACCACAAACAGATGAATATCTGTATGCACTGAAAGGGGTCCATTGGTTCAGTACTTTAGACCTGACATCTGGATATTGGTAAGTCAAACTGAATGATGAGCAGACATAAGACAGCTTTTAGTATGAGAAATGGCTTGTAGAAGTTTTATACCA